CAAATAAAACTCTTGTTCCAGTGATCGCATCTTCTTCTGAACTGCTTCCTGGAACTCGTATATTCTCAAGTATGGAAGGTTCATTCATGTTTTAGCAGCTGTCTAGAGCTCAGGAATGTGCAGTCTAATTTCCCTTAATGAGAGCGTTAGTGGTTTGCATTGTATGGAGGTACTGCGATTGTATCTACTTCGAACACTGCCACGCCTGCTGCGATTTTTTTGCTAGAGTGACGATGCGCTAACTCATTAATGTCACACAGCTTGGGAGTTGAAAAGATCTCCAGACTTTAAGTGTCTCCTATGGCCAAATAAATTTGACCTTTAGTAGGCAGAGCCTGTTTGGGAGTAGCTTTAATAGACGATTTGCAGAGCACCGGAACTGCAAACGCTTGCCCAATTTAGACTCGACCGTAAACGCTTGGAATACGCTGAGGCAAAGACACAGATCAGATTTCGTTTACAATATGCCACAATGAGTTTGGATGGCAGTTCTGCATAAGGGTGACTCTGCAAAAAACGATTAAAAAATTAATTTGATTTCGTGATTATTATTTACGCCGTTTCATCTAAAACTTAATCTAAAGCTGAGTAAACAAAGTACAACGCCCAATCTACTTTCATAATTTGACGGTAGACATTTAAAAGCAGTTTAAATAAAGTTGCTGTAATTCATAGCTCCGCTATCGCGTAAACAAAAGAAAATGAACCACAACTGCACTCTATCAGAAATTCCTAAACAATGCCGACTCCCCCCACTCTTTCTGGCCGTACTATAATGCGATTAACCTGATTAACAGCCTAAAAAAGAAAGGACATGATGGACAATGCCATACACTAGGAATCATTTAGTCCAAATGAATGGAGTTGAAACAATTTAAAGTCAGTTCAAATGCTTTTGATTGACGGAACTCACAATCGCGAGTCACGCCAGTCAGCCAACTCGAGTTCGAAGAAACCCTCGGGCTGGATGGCATACATGTTCGGTGCAGTCTTCATCAGCGTGTGAAGATGGCCACAGAAGTATGCAAAAGTTGTTTTACTGAAATGGAAATAGACAGGCATGAGAGGTAGATGCGCAGGCAAGTCCGAAATAGCACTGCGATTAACTTATACAAAAATTGCTTGCTACGCCTCAACAAAGTAATAGACACTAGATTCTCTGGAGGTTCAAAATGTCCACAACTTGACAACGTTGGTTAACGAGGGGCTCTACATAAAGCTGCACGTGTTCGAAGCTGGCGGTGCAATTTTAGCCATCTTCTAGTTACCCATGGATACTGATCTACTTTAATGAGGGATCCTTTGTAAATATGCAATTACAGTTAGTTTTTATTCGTGCTACTTGATGACAGCCTCAAAGGGGACAAAATGCGTACGTCCTGAAGATAAATAAAGGTCTGCATCAGACGCAAAACTCATCAAGACGACTAGTGCTGGGGATGACCATTAAATCAAATTACCCACAGAGAAAGGCATAAATTATGCAGGAGTCTAATTATAAACGTTGTTAGTTTTCATAAGCAAGCAGACACATGATCCTAGGACTGTATAAAGGATAAACCAAAAAGGCCACCTTGCTCAAATACGACTTCTACTGTGCAGTGGATTAAAGATGCGGCGACTTTACTTCAGCAGTTACTTGGGTAATGTGGGGTCTGCGAGTCAGTCTGCAATGGCTCCTTCTTAACGTGACTTCTTGCACTCTCACTTATTTGAGATATGAACCGTACAACCCCCATTTGTATGAAAGCCTGCTGATTGTGTTTGGGGGCGACAGGTCGTGTAAGTAGTACGCGTAGACGAGGTCATTATATATATATGTTTATTGAGGAGAAGACGACTCGATTGCTCTTCTAAATTACTTCCTGGGACTCGCATGTTCGCTTGTATCGGCAAAATATGT